AAAAAAATCCAAAAATTCTGAAAAAAATATATATTAAACTAGAGAACTTTAGCTATTTTTTGAGCTAAAAATAAAAATATTTGTTAGTAAAATTAAAAACTTTTATATATAAGAAAAAATACGTATTTTACTAATTATAATTAGTAAAAAATTTAAGCATTGCATTATTTTTAATTGTCACTGTATATATTTTTAAATTAATTTTAAAAAAATATATTGTTAAAAAATTAATTAAAAAAAAAATTAAAAAAAAATTTAAAATATTTAAAATATATATCTTTATCATATTGATACTTATTTTTCTAGGCTGTTATCTTTTCTATTCTATTTCCTATTCTTTATTAATGAAATCATAAATTATTAATAATATCATGATTGATTTGTTATCTTGTTAAAAAATAGTTAATATTCTATTTATCATAATATTAAAATAAATATTTCAATCAAGTTTGATATTTTTATTCATCTTTAATTTTTTTAAAAATCTGAAAGCTATTTTTTGAATAGTTCTACAAGTATTAATATTAATTTATCAAAAATACTAAAAAAGAGAAATATTAAAAAAATAATTATTTATATAAATATTATATAAAAATTACTGATATAGAAGTTATGTAATAAGATAATAAATCAAATATCCAGTTTGATTAAGATTATTTACTCTTGTTACATTACTTAGCAAGATATGTGATATAAACAAGAAAGTGTATGTATATCCAGATTCACAAAGAGATAAATTCTTAAAGTCTTCTGAAGTTGATTTATTTTTTATTCAAATAATATGAATGCTTTATCCGGAAAATTATATCATCATTTCATTCACTAAGATATTTAAACTTGATATGTAAAACTATTTTGAAATATCACGAATTATTGAGAATAATGACTCCAGTTTTCAAAGTAATTATTGATTATAATAGCAGAAGAGATATGCAAATATCTTTTAATTTATTCAAAATATTTTAATAACATCTGTTTTGAAATATCATGAATGCATTCCAATATTAATTAAGGAAAGGTAATTTGAAAAGCCCTTGGTAAATAATCAGAGCAATCCAGATAATGAGCTTGTTATGATCTATTTTTTGCCAATATCTACCAGTAACACCAGCATCTTTTGTTAATGCCTATAAATTTGTATTAATAACTATCGTATCTAATGTAGCATTTAAAGAAAGAGGTTGACTGATTTAGAAAAATTGGCTTCATAATTTGGCGGCAAATTAACAAATGCCCAATGCAGTGGTCTTGGATGAACAAGGTGTTCAAAATTAGGGGGTGGTGATGGCAGTTGTACAGTTCCTGCTAGTCTGCGTCTACCTCTAGGAACACTCCTGGTTTCCTCTTCCTCGTCCTCAATGTCTGATTCCAGATTATCCACAAGGTGTTGGCAGGATGTCAAAAGTGGTACATATTCTTACTCATCCTCAGCAATTTCAAGGAGATGAGCTCGAGGTCGAACCCGAAGGCAACATATTTGACATCATAGGGCGATCGGCAAGATAGTACAATCTCATAATTGCTTAGGAAAGGGGGGGGGGGGGGTTGTTTAGGAAAATCGGACGCAATTTCACAATAATAGATCAAAAATAATTTTAGCGGGCAAATTTGCCCGCTGGACGGATTAAGGAATATCATATAATTATTAATTTGATTAAACTAAATATAAATCATAATTATAATTGAATTTTTAAGAACACGTTTATATAAAAGTACAAAAATACTCATATACATCATGCTAAAAAATTCATTTAATATTATAATAAAACAATACATTAATTAATATCAATAAAAATAAATGAATAAATGAATAGCTTGACAAAATTTAGAGATAAATAAATGGATAAATAAATAAATAATCAAATAAACTAATTAATAGAATATTGTCAAAAATAATGATTAACTCTCACACATCTCTAAGGTGTGACTCAAAAATGCCAATATCTTGATAGCTAATAAAGAGCAGTGGCACGTCCAACATGCATGCCAACACGAACCTAAATAATTAAGCAATAGACGTCACATCATAAATAAATTAATTATGTTTTCGTTAAGTGCACAAATAAATAAATACATACCAAAGTTTCTAGAGGTTGTTGGGAATTTGCCAATATGTCTTCGTCCCATTCCATCTTGTCTTTCTGGAATAAAAGAATCACTGTACTCCCACCTATTGTTAATTTGCAATACGTATGATTAATATCAAAAAATATTAAAGATAACATAATAATACATTATTCTAGATTATATAATTACCAAATGCAAAATATCCGTGTTCTTCAAATCGCTTAACGTGGCTATGCGGTTTGCTATTTTATCATAAAGTATTTTTATAATTTAATATATAGCATGTGCCATGCATATTTTCACTAATTGATTTTTTTTTACCTTGTAAATTCAATCGAGCCAACCATCATTGCACCAATAGTAACATATGCAACTTTTCCGAATTGTGTAGATTCGATATATGAAACTGCACGTTTGTTTTCGCCATATACATCGAGTCTAGAACAAGTAATAGATAAATAGTATTTATTAATAATAAAAAAGAAACGAAAGTCTACTGGGTTCGGTGAATACAAAGTTTTCATTCTTACTCGGAACGAATAGCCATTGGATTCACAGTGTAGTACGCTCCTTTGATATGAAGTGGTTCACCGAGTAAACCGTCCACAGGGAAATGAAATCTGAAACAAAAAAAATCGCGCTGGGTGTTATTACTTTATATAGATTTCTTTTTAAATCCGCGGTTTGCATTAATCTATATTCAGTTATCCGGTTATAGTGTTAGTAATAATACTAACTAGTTTTTACCTATGATAATCTTGCGGCGCTAATCGAAAAATTCCCAAACTACCACCATGAAATTGTTCAGCTGCGTCTTGATTCTCCAAAAGTCGCTCAAGCGAAAAATTTTGCCCTTTTATCCATATATTTGTCGCTTCGTCAATCCTGGAAAATGCCATCATTCGACAATCGGCTGGACTAACGATGACACGTGGATCGTTGGGTGAATCTAGCGTTCGTGCGTCTGGCTTCAATTTGCGATAAAAGAATTCGTTAAAGTTTTTGAATGACTCTAATGGAGCGAGAACCTCGTTGACATTCAACTGATGAAATGCAATAAAAGACGGAATGTCATTAATGGACGAGGGCGAGTTGTATTTCTTTCCTTGTTTTATAGATAATGTCTCCAAAAGACGTTTTGCTAATTAAAGAGAAACGAATTAATTTTTTGCTAAGTAAAATAAAGAGTTTTGCTAACAAAAAGTGTGATGGCCCACTTGTTTTCGCTTCAACTTGTTTTACTCCCTTGTATAAAAGACGGATTCCTAATCGAATATAAGTTGGCATTTTCTCTTCTACAAGTTGTCCCGTTATACGATCTTGTACTATGATGTTAGCATTATTCTTTGGTATGTTAAGATATTAATGTCAATTATTATATATGACAACTAAATATACGATTGATAAAATAATACTAACCGCACCGACTCTGAAACTTCCATATCCAACCTTGGATATAATCTTTGATATCCATTTTCTTTGCGCCTGAGACTCGGTGACAAAATCTCCAACAATAAATTTATCAACATTCTCCCAATCAGTACTAGCACAAATAGCAACATGTGTAATAGTATCGGCGACCGAATGTTTTTGGAGATTGGGTTTATGACAGAATGGACATTCTGTAAGTTCAACTAAATGTTCAGTATCTGTTTCTCCGTTGTTAATTGATGCAGTATTAGACCCTTCTTCCAATAATCGTTGTTCCAAACATTCACACAATTCTTCGAACGTTAATTCGCCTGTTCTTGGATCTTTGTTGTATCGCATGAAAAATCCTTCGATTGATCTGTCTGTCAGTGATCCAAGACTGTTTACCATAGTTGAGAGTTCGACAAAATTCAAAACTCCATTCTCATCCGAATCATACAATTTGGCCAAAGCATGCCAAAATTGATGACGTAAATGTTCAAACGGAATGAACCGTCCTCGGATCCAAAGTTTCGGTAGATTATCATATTTTTCTTTGGTTCTCAGTTCAAGCGGCATTACATACTCAACCATACCTTCATTGATGTTTTTTGGCAGTTGATTGCTATCCGCACTAGCAATTAGGGCTTGAATTGGGAATTGGCAATCCGCAATCAAATCGTTGAAAGAGATTCTGTCTTGATCATAAACAGAAAATTTTATAAAAAAATTTGACTCGTGTTGTTTCACCGTGAAATACAATTTTTCATTCCATGTCGGATTAAGACAATGTTGAATTGTTCGTGTACGGAAAGTTTGCTTTGAAAAAGAAATTACTACAAAAGGATCCATATCAAATTTTGAACCGACAGCTGCGCCGTTATCATGAATAAATGAATTATCGAAGAGAAAACTTGATTAATGAAAAATTAATCTATTATTTGTTCCATTAAAAATAATTACCTGCTTTTTCCGGTGGCAAATCTTCTGCTTTTGTCACTTCAAGAAAAGTTAACCCAAGTATATTCGAACGTCCAGATGACGAAGAGACTGTGGATGATAAACTTATAGAACTTGAATCACTTGGTCTTTTACCATGTCCATAATAATTTTCATTTGATTCAACATGTGTATTCGCTATGGACCCATTTGAAGATGCCGTGGTGGTGGTGGTGGTGTGATGATGATGATGATCAGAAACATCAATTTTAGAAATTCTTTGCCAAATTGAAGCCAATTCTTGAGCTTCCATGAATTTATTATCCGGATCAATTAATCCAATCCTTATTAGAATTTCACCAGAAATTTGTTCTTTGGGTCGGGAAGTATTTTCCAATGCATACCATTTTGGCTTTTACAGTAGTAAAATAAATTAAATATCATCGAAAATGCATTAATGATTTTATTGGATTATCTGTTTACCTTATTACCAGTATCATTGTATCCAACTGTAATATCCTTCCAATGATGCTCCAACGACACTTTAAACTCGCCCAAAAAATCCTTTCCAAGTAAATCTTTATCCCAACACGTGAACAGAATCTCTCTGGGCGGATTTTGCGGGTTTATAATAGCGTCGAATGAAGCGTCCCAGCGTGGCGATAAATTTTTGTTGATTACTTGAGTTTGATGTGTTTCGTCGCCAATTGTAACTACGACATACTAACAATTTTAGAGATTGACGTCCTTTATTAATGTATACTAATTCGTTCTTTCAAATTCAGAAATAGTGAAATAAAAATCTTTAATTCGCTCTTTCAAATTCAAAATGATAATGCTCACGGGATCAGAAAAACCATTTCTATCTTTTGCAGCTAATCCTTGAGCTTGAATAACGTCGACGCGCAACACAACATTGAAACCTTGGGACGACATGTCGTTAAATCATGCGAAATTTTAATTTCGTATATTCAGGAATGCAACTACTATTAAAAAATTTAGTCGCGTCAAGCTTTCATGCGGAATATTATGAACATTTTTAGAGGCGCAAAAATACTTTATTTTTGGTAAAAAAATACATGTTTTGTGTCAATGGTTGGTGCTACTTACTATCTTAACTATCTTATTCAGCCATCCATAATTAGCGTTAAAAATCACTAACGCTAACACATATTTTGGTTAAACTAATAGAGATTCAATAAACAAACAACTAAATTTGATTATGATTTATTATTGAGCACCAGCAATTGCTTTCTTCCAAGCAGGTTTCTCACTAATATTTGTCCACCAACGTTTAACATTCGGTCTATCGCCCATATCATATCCGTTATTAATAGCATAACTGAAATATGGTAGATGCACAATATCCGCGATTGAGTATTCACCAGTCAAATAATCTTTGCCGACCAGCAATTTCTCATAGACATCTAATACGCTGTCTGCCTTTTTCGTGAGTTCTTCTAGTTTTACAGGGTCTGGTTGGCCACGACCGAATGCTGGTTTGAATACTTTTTCGGCCACCCAGGAAGAGAACGCGGGATCGAAATACGAGTATTCGACCGAGAGGAATTGTTCAAGGACGCCGAGTTTTTGTGGGTCTGTTGGGGCGAGGGACGATTTGTGTTTGGCCACTAGATACCGCACGATTGCTCGTGATTCGAAAATTTGGTAGCCATCTTCATGGAGTACAGGAATTTTTCCGCTATTATTGAATCATTTAGTATATTTGTATTAACTATCAAAATACTATAAGGTAAGAAAAAAAACCAAATACTTACAAAGGATGCTTATCTCTAAGATATTCAGGCGACTTCATAGTTGTCCATTCTGGTTGCTCAAGTTCAAACTCGAGGCCTAATTCGTTAATAATAGTGATAATACGTAGGGTACAAGTTGATTTGAGATTTCCAGTAATTTTAATAGTCATTTTGTCGAATTAATAAAATTGTCAGGTAATTTACTTAAAACACACAGCGCGCTTTGATCTTATATATAACTTTTTTGTTGGGAGGATGCGTAAACATTAACTGGAAAGATCGCGAACATTCACTTTGAATAATGCGAAAACTTGATTATTTAATCAATGACGCACGTTTACTATTATCCAAAACTTGCGAGAAGGAATATATTTGTAATCAAACTTAAACGCTGAAACAAAACAAATTAGTAATTTGGCTATCTCGGTTCTTTTGATTTAAAATCGGTGATGATTTGTAATTGTATAAGAGGGATCCACATTACACATTAGAAATTTGAGTAACTTTGTTTTATTGTTCTCGGGTCATATATGATCCATGATTCTCAAATATATGATAATGATACGTAATGCTCGGAGTAAAAATCTACAATTTTTTATAATGAAAAGAAACCTTCTAACAGGTTGTTATCAAGGTGTGTGTATGCATGCATGCAACCATGCATGTATTTTTGTTAACGATTAAATGTAGTTCATTTCATTTACTATGATTTTATTAATAATCCCGTTTAGGCTTTAACAAAATCAATAATAATTTAAAAATCTGTGAAAATCAAAATTCACGAATCAATATATCGCGTGGATTATCTAAAGTATGAGTCATTTTTGATTACCACAAGAAAATTTTTAACTTATTGACAACAGTTATCCCTTTTATATGAATAAAAAAGATAATTACAACCGTAAAATCAAAAAATTCTTCCCCTTCAGAAGAAAATTTGATTCCGACTGCACATATCGTAACAGAAGATTCCTATAAAATACACGTGAAATGGTTGACTGCGACGTCATGTGACGAGAAAAATAACAAGGAACTTACAAGTAAATTGTATGTCGACATTTTGAGAAAATATTACGTGTAACAAATTATTTAAAAATCGAAAATATTAGTCATCCATTCTGGTTACGTGATCATTGTCGATGCCTGGAATGTTATCATCAAATAACTAAACAGCGTCTAGTGAATACTTTTACGGTAATTAGTAATTAACGAATAAATGTAAATTTTTTCATTTTTTTCTTATGTTTCTTATTCTTATCAATTCACATAGATTCCAAAAGATATTAGAGCATCTTCAATAAATGCAACTTCGGATGGGTTAAACATTGTGTGTAAGTGCAAAAAATAATACATGATCAATCAAAAAGCATATATAATCATCATTATAATTTATTCGAATAAGGGTCAAATGATAATCATTCGAGTTTCTTCAAATGGAATTGGCTACGAATACACTCGTATGACCCACCAATAATCAATCGAGAGAACCCATTTACTAAGTAAGTAATTATAAGATATATGAAAATTTTATCCAATTAACGGAGATTAATTAGGCGAATTTTTGAGTAGTCGAATATTCTGGAATAGTCAAATGATACAGAATCTTTTCCCAATTCTTCAATTTGAGAATGTAAGTTATGAAAAATATAATAATGAAGGAAACTATATAATAATTTTTACCATTTCATTAGATAATTAAAAATTCATTTAATAATTATGACAACAGGTTATGCAAACACATGAAGGATTGACGCAAATGCTTAAAAATCTTGTATGTAAAGGAACTTTTACTTTGGTATTTTGTAAAATTTGAAATTTTTTTAGTGATAAGATAATTTTAGGATCAATACGGAATAACATTCGTGGACGATGTTCCTGTGAACGTTAAAGACACTGAAGCATTAGCTCGAAGGATTTGTTTTATTCGTGAGACTCATTATGGTGTGTATTGTATAAATATACATATAAATGTAAACAAATATATTCATATAAGTTATGAAAATTAGGCGGATTCTATGACTTTACGCCTAATTTAGAACACGGAGACACAGCCTATACAACATTAGCACTAAAAGTGCACACAGACACAACATACTTTACCGATCCTATAAGACTCCAGATGTTTCACCTACTAGAATTCAACGGCAAAGGCGGCAAATCAATATTTGTCGATGGGTTCTACGTGGCAAATCTACTAAAATCACAAAATCCACATGCTTACAAAACCCTCTCCACGATTCGGATTCCTGCGCATTGCGCAGGGGATAAAAATATTTGCATACAACCAACCCCCCATTCATTTCCAATTCTAAATCATAATCCAATTACCAGCGCATTATATCAAATACGATACAATAATGATGATCGATCGACAATGTCGCATTTGAAGCCGGATCAAGTTGAAGAATTTTATGATGCGTTACGAGCGTGGAACAAGTTGTTGCAAGATTCTGCGAATGAATTTTTGATTCAGTTAGTTCCTGGTAGAGCTGTACTATTTGATAATTGGCGTGTGTTACACGGTCGTACAGCATTTGTTGGGCATCGACGTTTGACTGGTGCTTATTTGAATCATGATGATTATCAAAGTCGGTTGAAGGTTAATTGTTTGTCGCTGAATGAGATCGAAGAAAGTCTTTAAATTTAGTTTTTATTATTTATATCATCTGATAAATATTTTAACTTATTCGTTCAAGTCACAAAGGATGTGGCAGGTACTATTACAAATATTCAAAATTCCATTCTTTGATATCTAATCGATTAGATTTGACAATTCCCACCTCAAATTTGTTAATAAATTGTTTAAATTGTTAATGAATTAAATAAATGGTCAATGATATGATGATCTTACTTGAGAATTTTAATAAAATTTGCACCACTTCTCTGTCAACGCTTTAGCAGATTATTTTTTTTGTTTTCGTCTAAGAGACGATTGAATTCATTCAAAAGGATGACACCAGCCATTGAAGAATTTAATGAAATATAATTTTCAGTTGGAACTGTCACGCGTACAGTATCTTCTGGAAATTGGTGAACAAGATCGGCAGATATTATTAAAGCGATGCGATCACTTGAAAAAGCAATATCATTTTCCAGTAAGCCATTCGTTTTATTCCAGAAATATAGATTTCGTTTTTTACCGGTAATCTTAGATGACGATTTAAGAGATTCTATTAATCTTGGAGGTAAAGATTCAAGAATAATCATTGGCAGATTATGTTCAGCCATAATTTCACGGGCATCCATCCAATTGGAATGTCTATGCGGAAAAATAACTGAGCTATAACGGGATACTCGCATCACTCGATCATCATATACATCTGGAGTGCCTGGCGTTAAAAATACACCATCCCAGCCTAATGCTTTGGCCGTCCTAATTAATTGTCCTACTAATATTGGATCTTCAATTTTATCTAAAATTAATAATTTTTTCATTTCATTAGGGTAATTAACTTCGGGAAATGGAACCTCCGCATAAGCTTCCCATTGTCCAATTAATGCCCATTGCCCAAGAATTTTTCTTGTCATTTCCTGATCGGTAATGTAATATTTTTCGGCGGGAAATTGTGGCAAATGATCAAAGACATATTTTGTAGCACCGGTAATTTTATCCATAGTTGGAAAAGGAGGTTCTGCAGCAGAAGTAACACAAATCGAACGTATCGGATATTTTAATTCGATTAACTCACGTATATATCTTATTCCTTGCACAATAATTGCTCGTTGCCTCCATCGATCAGTTCTATTACGACGTATTGATTCAAAGTATTTTATTAATGGATGTTTCATGCCAAAGATTGGTTTAAATATTTCAGGATATTCATTCCGAGAGTTCTCCTCTGTGATTTTTGGTTTTTTTCTTCTAATATCTCTAGGCGGTTTGACTTTTTGAAACGGAATTTCCGGTTCATAATATGACATAAATTCTTTGTCGTCCTCGATATCCACAGGTTCCTCCTTTTTACTTTTAAGTACTAGTGCCATAGCACCTTTCATTAATTTTCTTTGCTGTTGTTCAAGTTCTATAATGGGTTGGCCTTCTACGACTTTAATTATATTTCCGTGAGAAATATTTCTTATTAGACATTTGCCAGCTATTAAAAGATGAGTTTTGTAATAATGTGCAATTGCAAGGCGGGGTTGAAAATAATTTAGATGCATGACTGAAAGAAAAAAATTTCAAATCAGGCATCCAAATTATTAAATTATTTTTTCGCAAATCATGTGATTCGAAAATTGCGCAATCTTTAAAATCAGATTACGATTATTTTATGTCACGGGATCTTTTCAAATTCATATCATTATAATCAATACATACTTGAAAAATGATCGTATTTCTCCGACATGTGTACTGGAGTATTCTCCTAATTTATATTTGTACCCGGAGTACTCGTGTAGGGGAGGGGATATACCGTATTAATAGAGGTATATATGTCGATTTTTCTTCGAACTCTTATTAGCTTGCAGATAAATCCATCGCTGATTGGTCAGAACGTGACCAAAAATCCACGTGACATAAGGATCGTGATCCCGAAATCGTATGATTTATGTATCAATCTTAAATTCAGTTTAGTTAACTCAATATTTAGATAGATTTTAGTTAAGAAAATTCTAAAAAATATCTCTTGTAGAAATTATTATTATCTCTTTATTGAATTATATTCTAGTTAATTATATTATAAATACTATTATTATTTGTCTTTAGAATAAATCTTTATTAAGAAAGTTATATTCTTATTAATATACTATAAAAACTCTTTTAATATTATTATTATTAGTAAAATACATATTTTTTGATAGTTTAAAATAAATACTTATATTTGAAATTAATTTTTATATTATAACTTTTTAGTGTTTTCTCTATAAATAATAATTATTCAATTTAACTTAAATTTTGAGTTGAAGAATTTTTTATAAATTAAATAAATATTAATAAAAAAAGAAAATTAATTAAAAAATTAATCTAATTAATAAAATATCAAAATTAATCTAATCAGAAAAATCAAAGTAAAAAGAAAAAAATTCTTTAATTAACTATTTATTTAATTATATTTTAAAGAATATTATTACCATTTTAAGTTTATGCATATGTAAATATTTTAAAATGATAATAGTAACTGTGTTCATGACAATTATTTACTTCTATAGCTTCAAAAAATTATATAATTAATTATCTTCTCAATAAGATAATATATACAAGATTTACTTTTGATAAAATATAATTATCTTCTCAATAAGATAATTTACATAAATTTACTTTTGATCAAAATACTCTTTCAATAGAGCAAGAAGAAAATAAGATATGATATATGATAAAATATATATTTATTAAAAAAAATTACTAATTAACTATTCTTAACTTAGTAACTAATATTACCATAGTAATATAAATTTCTTTAATTTCATAATTTTTTAAACTTAGAAAATTTGACCAATCAATTGATCTTTAGAAGATATGTAATTTCAAATAATATAATTAATATATCAGTTATAGATTCAGTCATGATTTAATAATGTTTTTGCAATATTCTTGCAATATT